GCCTCACTCTGTATCCTGTCCCGGCCTCCCCCACTGGTTTCACTCCTTGTTCTGCTCCAGCCTCCTCCATCGCTCTCACTCCTCACTCTCCATCAGGTTCATGGAGAACCTCCCTCCCCATGACAAGCAACATCTCCACTGGAGGGAAGTCCTGGGTCATCTTCCCGAGGCCTTACCACCACCTGGAGATGGTCCCTGGGCCAGGCTCCACACTGTCTACAACCAGGTTCATCATCTTTCTCTGTCCAAAGCTGATGTCTAACCACTAAAGCCAAAGATGAAGAAACTGAAGATCTGCACCAATTTCTGCAGTCTAAAATGGATCAAACATGCAATCAAGATGCATTGATAATTACTATAACTGGAATGACAAGATGGAAACAGAGAAGGATCAGAAGTTGGAAAATATGGCCTAGTGACAGAAATGTTGCCGGAGATGGCATGATAGAGTTGCAAGACCAACAATTTATTCATTGCAAATATCTTTTTTCAACAACATAACCAGCAACTATACATGTGGACTATTCAACTATTCAGATGGAATACACAGGAATCCTATCAACTACATCTGTGAAAGATTCGATGGAGAAGCTCATATACCATCAGTCACAATAAGAACAGGGGCCAAATGAAGAATGGACCATCAATTACTCATATGGAAGCTCAAGCTATAGCTGAAGACAATTAAGGCAAGTCCATGAGAGCCAAAATATGACCCTGAATACATCCCATTGGAAGTTAGAGATTATCTGAAGAATAGATTTGATGCACTTAACACCAATAACCAAAGGCCAGATGAGTTGGAGGGTGACATCAAGAATATCATATATGAAGAAAGCAAAGGATCATTAAAAAGACAAGAAAGGATAAAACAAACAAAAAAGGATGTAAGAAGAAACTTTCAAACTTGCTCTTAAATGAAGAGAAGCTAAAGAGAAGAGAATGGAAGAAATGATGACATAAAATGATCTGACAGAAGATTTCAAAGGGTGGATTGAGTAGACAAAATAAAGTACTACAATGAGATGTACAAAGACGTAGAGTTAGAAAACCAAAAGGAAAGAGTTTGGTCAGCTTTTCTCAAGGTGAAAGAACTGGAGAAAAAAATTCAAGCCTCAAGCGGCAATATTTAAGGATTCTATAGGCAAAATAATGAATGATGCAGAAAGTATCAAAAGAAGATGGAAGGAATACAGAGTCACTGTACCAAAAAGAAATGGTCAACGTTCAACCATTTTAGGAGGCAGCAGATGATCAAGAACCAATGGTACTAAAGGAAAAAGTCCAAGCTGCATGGAACAAACTGGGAAAAAACAAGGCTCCAGGCATTGATAGAATCATCGAGATGTTTCAACCAATGTATGCAGCACTGGAAGTGCTCACTCGTTTACACCAAGGAATCTGGAAGACAGCTACCTGGCCAACTGAAGAGGTCAATATTTTTGCCAGTTCTAAAGAAAGGTGATCCAACAGAATGTAGAAATTACCAAACAGTATCATTAATATCACATGAAAGTATAATTTTGCTGAAGGTAATTAAAAAATGGTAGCATCAGTACATTGGCAAGGAACTTCCAGAAATTCAAGACAGATTCAGAATAGAATGTGAAACAAGGGATATTATTGCTGATGTCAGATGGATATTGGTTCAAAGCAGAGAATACCAGAAAGATATTAACCTGTGTTTTATTGATTATGCAATAGCATTTCACTGTGTGGATCATAACAAATTATGAATAACACTGTGAAGAATGGGAATGACAGAGGCTTAGCTGTGCTCATGAGGAATGTGAACAAAGACCAGGAGGCAGTCGCTGGAATAGAACAAGAGGACACTGGATACAGAATGGTTTAAAAACAGGAAAAGTGTGAGTCAGGGTTGAATCCTTTCACCATACTTACTCAGTCTGTATGCTGAGCAAATAATCAAGAAGCTGGACTACATGAAGACCAACACGGTATCAGGGTTGGAGGAAGACCCATTAACAACCTGGGACATGCAGCTGACACAACCTTGCTTGCTGAAAATGAAGGAGACTTGAAGCACTTACTGATGCAGATCAAAGACTACAGTCTTCAACATAAAGAAAAAATCCCGACTTCTGGTGAGATGGAGGAATAGGCAGACAAGCTGCACAGAGCCTCTTCAACAAAGAAAAGAGAAACCAATTGACAGAGATACAGAAGATAATCCTGGAGCCCTGAGCATTGAAAGGAAGGATACAGAAGTGGATTAGGCACCAGCTAGTGGAAAAACCTGAACGAAGACAGTGCGTATGCAGATGGTTGGAGAAGTGCACTGTCAGCTACTCTGACGGGGTCAACAGCCTGAATATTTCCAAGTGGTGTTGGCACCTGAGAATTGACCTAAAGATCAGCCGTGGTCACCAAGGGCTACAGGGACGACTGTGCTGGTGGCCTGTGACTAGCAAGGGAAACAGCAGGGAGGGAGACAACCTGAGCTGTAGACTTTCGGCTGTCCGGAGGGCACAGCCATTTTGATTGTTTACGTGTGGCAGCCATTTTGGATATTTAAAGTGACCGAGGGCGCAGCCATTTTGAATGTTTAAAAGCGGTGGCTATTTTGGATTCTAAAGTGATAGCACTCTCATTCAGATTCCAGAGACCTAAGAATAAGGTCTGTGTGCCAAGGTCGGCAGGGACACACGAAGGCTGAGGACAGGAAAGGAGGCAGGTGCTGAGTGTGTAAGTGCCGCCAGCTGGTGAACAGAGGAGCACA